GTTTTCTGGCCTGTGCATACAATGTTGCGATCCTGCTGGCTGAAGTCTGGCAGTATTTGTTACATAGTTTCTGAAACTGCTGGCTCAGAGGCCTGCAGCCGCAGGCGGGGAATGTTGGAATCCTCTGTCACTGAGGCAAGCAAGCCTCATGTTAGTTTCAAGCTGCCTGGCTGCCGGCCGCCATCTTGGCTGACAGTTAATTTGCATATCTCGCTGATTAGCCAATGAAAAGCGTAGCGGTTGTACGCCAATTACCATGTTTCTCTTTTATTAGTGTAGATATTGAGGTTCTATTGTATATGACTCGAGTTTTGAAAAAAAATGTTGAAAGAGTCTTCTTTAACAATCCTCTGTCCCTTTAGTCACTGAATTAAATTTTATGAAACCCTGATATAAAGACACTGAAGCTTAGCCAAGTCAACTGAACTTCACTTGCTTCCTAAACACCTTCACTGCCCCATCGAGCCTGCAGAGCCAGCCATCACTCTCTGCAGTGGGCACTCTCTCGCCCCACAGAGGACCTGAGTGCAATTAGTGTTTCCCTTAAGCAGCCAGGGCATTTCCTTCTTATCTACAACTTGGTGGAAGGCTTGAGGTTTCCCCTGACACATTCACACAAACATGGTTGTACTAGAGTAATAATACTAATGTTTTTGTAACTGTTATTTGCTTTCTATGTTGTTACTCAATTGGCTTGTGAATTATACAGTATAATGAGAATAAACATTTTCTTAATAAACTCAGAAACCTCTAGGTAGACTCAAAGTACTCTATGTACTACAGTGAGAAGAAAAACACATCCTTGTTTTAAGCACTTATTCAAAATCTGTGCTAATATAGTTTATCCAATCCTGGTGTAGAAAGTATACATCAGGGGACCCACGGCTGCTTTAGACCCTTTCATTTTTCCATTTTATCACCAGGACACAGAATTTTATGCGGTTGTTGGTTGGCAAAGACACTTAAGTAAAATTTCTGGGGAAGAAGAGGGAGGAACATGTTTTATCTCCCAGGTAATGACCAATTTAAAAGAGACTGACAATGAAAACATGGTTTCAAAGGTGTAAAACACTTATTCATAGTGTTTGAGCAATGGGAATGGTGAATAAAAACACACACTGAGTTATCACAAAAGAACACATACGGCAGCGCTTACTTTTAAGGTTGCTGTTTTCTTCAATCACCTTCAGATCAGTGGCAGGAGGAGTGACTCAGCTATCATCACTAGTACTGAATCAGCGGTACCCACCCTCTTTAATTAACTCGGAGGAAAGGCAGCAAATTCAAGTTCATATTAAAATTAGGATTGTTAATGACAGATTCCAAATGGAATTTTCCCAGTATTTCCAGGAAGCAGATGCTTTAAGAAATTCATGTTTACTTAGTGAAAATTTCATGCAAGAAGAAAATAGTCAGTGACTTTAAAAACTGTGATGTTCAATAGGAGAATTCATATGTCTGTTAGAGTTCAACATCCCTTCGTTGTACCATCACCTCCATAATTGGCAAATACTATGAAATATAACCCATTTTCTCAAAGAAATATCATTTTATGGATTCTTATTCGAGGAGAATGCTGCTAGGGCAATCTCAAGAGTGTATACATTTTTTTGTGTGTGGAATAACAACAGAGAAATACTACGTAAATCAAATGATAATTGTACAAAACATTTATAGATGAACCAAATTCAAACTCCTAATAAACACAATCCCACTGCCACTCTGACCTTTATGGGCTTCCAAGCAGCCATTAAGAAGAAACAGTTTTCTTATAACAAGTCACGGCAAGGATAGAAGTAAGTGAGCTATTATACTAATTTTTTAAAAGTTGAGAATATTCAACTAACAGGAAAATCTTAAAAGATAAATGTTTTGTGTGTGAGAGAGAAGTACTTTGGAATTATAATCTTAATACCTTACTGGGATGACAGATCCTATCACATACACACATACACGCACACACACAATAAATAAATAAATGAGAAGAAAAATAGCCCCAGTCAGGCTGTGGCTGCACACAGCTATCTCTGTTTATCAGCGACTGCTATCCGGACTGGGTGCTGTTCCCACAGTCTCCTATCAGCACAACCATTTAGAAATGAAACAAACCACAGGAAACAAGCAAAACAACCCTCTGGCTTTCTGGTATGCATCGCCACTTCAAAATCAGAATCTAAAAATTCAACCCATTAGGTTGTCGTCTGGGGATTCAGAGAGGTCCTATTAGATAGAGCTTGATGAACTACTTCTGTGGTGTATGACAAGATAATTTTTAGCATCCTCCACTACGCCATGTTCCAAAATACAAAAAACGTCACAGGTAGTGGCACTGCCCTATCTGTGAACTCATAATGAATTCTCCTTCCTATTACTATACAACGATTCCATCCTCGCCCTTAAGGACAAGGTCAGGTGGTATCATGTTCTTCATCTTTGAAGTGGAAGAACCAAGGCAGATGTTCCTGCTGTTCTCTGCTGACATGGCTGACAGGACCAGAGCAGCACTTGACCTGGGCAGAGCCAATTAGAGTCTTTTTCCCAGGACTTTGAAGACTCTGGTCAGTGGACACACACAAAGACATGTTATGGCTCAAGAGGTGGAAGAGTGCCGGGGTTCTTGTCCGCATCAAGAAGGGCTCAGGAATCTGGAGAAGGGGCTGTGCGTGGATGACATAGGAATCCAGAGACTATAAAGAGTCCGGAGACAAGATATAATTTTGAAAGGCACTGGGGGTCAGAGGAGCTTAGCTAAAGGAGCTAAGATCTAAGGTCCTAAAGGTCTTAGGTTCTCTCCGTCCCCAGGACCCCATACTTTTTATTAACACAACTTGTCCTGAGGCGAGGCAGAGATACACACTTCAAAGGGCCAGGGTGTGGTACAGAGTCCATTGTCAGAATGGGGGAATAGCCTACGGCTGTTCAGGTGTTTGGCCAGTAGGAGGCAATAACACGTAGATTAAGATGCCTTTTAGCTGTCTGGCAGCAGCAATCAGTTTCCTATTCAGGTTTGGGGAAATGCCTTTAGCCATTCCCAACGGGTGACTACATGTGTGACTCAACTCCGTTGAGTCCCCAAGTCTCATCAACCTTTTGATGAAACTCTTGAAATTATGACAAGCTGGAATTGGTCTCCGGCAGAAGAGGAAGGGTTGGGGTTGCTATTTCAGTCAGCAAATGGAGAACTAGCCTGGAGTGAGCAGAAGAATAAAAGTTGAAGCAAAAAGCAGCAGAGAACAGAAACGAAATGACCGCAGAAAGACAGTATATTCTTGAATCCAACAGCTTTTCAGGTTCCCGTTCTCTATGACATCCATGTTTAGTGAGAAACCTTTGCATACTTCCTATAAAAACCCTCCTTTTATTTTCTGTAATTCATTTGAGAGGGTTTCTTGATTAAGGTAATAAGAGTTCTAATTATGAAAAACCATTGGTTTAGGTTGACTTTCCTCAACCGTTTGTTAGTAATCATTAAATTGTTTCCCTTGACTTAAGATGCCGCTCCTTTATTTGTATATTCGAGATTTCACAGGCAGATCTTGAGAAGAGAGAGGTCCTGTTATTTATACATTTAGCAATGAAAGGAAAGCTTTTTATTGACAAAGTAAAGGTAACTACTTACATAATCTGGTAGAGGAACATCATTGGAACTTAGCGAGCCTCTCAAGGACTGTGTAGCTTGTTCCAGAACTTTGTTGTGTTTTTTAGACAGCAAGGAGAACAAACTGAAAAAAATAAAACAGAGACTCCAATTATATTAAAACAACCAAGTATCTCCTTTGCTAGGTCTTACATGGAATTATATAGTTGCACAGAATGTCAATCATTCTAAAACACACTTGTAAGGATTCTTTTTTTATGCTTATATTAATAGTAGGATTAACAATACTATTGATAGAACAAAAATTAAGTGAGAAGAATGTTTATAAGGGTTCTAAAGTATAAAAAAATTGACAAGTTAAAATTATATTTCAAACATGGAAGAAATTTTCAAAAGATTACTATAGTGGGGAAAACAGTAGACAAACATTTAGAAAATCTGGGTTATGAAATGACTCTATGAGTAACTCAGTATAATTTATTACAAGTCACATGAGCCTGTTTTATCTCAATTTCCTCATCTTTCAATTAACTGTTGGATTAGATTATTTCTTTAATATAATAGAGTCTATGGTTTAATTTTATAGCTTTATATTTTTATTTCTCAAAAAGAATAACCTTAAATATAACATTATAAGATTTCTGCCTCTGACAATGATGAACTACCTGGTACTGAATAACTCTCTTGTTGTAAACAACTAAGAAACTGGACAACATATATGAAACAACTGTTTTCAGATGTTGTACAACATCTGAAGTGCAAGATTCTGACCCTAAAAGAAGAGCGACCTATATATGGTGAGTTTCTGCCTAGAGGAACATTCCAGACTGTAGTTCAGAATAATGGGACCCAAATAGTACACTCAATAATATTGTGCTGAGCTGATAAGACAGATGTATGAAATTGAGGCTGCTGCGGCAGCTGGAATTTGCAGGGCAGATTATTGGATGGGAGAGAAATACAAGAGAAAGGTCCAGAAATCTGCCAAAGGCTCTTCCTTAGTGTTTGGCTAAATACTAAGCTGTATAGTACAGAGAAAACCCCCCACAAGGTGTGGCGGTTAAACAACTACCCAGGAACTGAAACCTGCACAGAGATTTTTGGAAGTCCCAAAAGGCTGAGGGATACTCGAGTTCCCACCAGCCAGAGTGGATAAAACTAACTGAACATGGGCAGTCAGTTGAATCCTCAGAAAGACCATACTTTAGAAGCAGAGTACCGGCTGTATAAGTACCGGCTTATTTGCCGGCGTATAAGACGACTGGGCGTATAAGACGACCCCCTAACATTTCCACTCAAAATACAGAGTTTGTCATATACTCGCCGTATAAGACTACCCCCTCTTCCGCACACCTTCCACACACCAAATAAAAGGTAAAACAATCATTTATTTGATTTTAA